CGACATTCAAGGTGAAATGAAAATCCTCAAGCAGCAACCGAAGCCATGCGTAAAAGTTGGAAGATCTTCGCGGACAATGGATACGAGGAAATGAATCGAATGTGAGAGGTGGTGGAGTCATATTAGAGTGAAAATAAAAAAAATTTAATGGCAGAGTATTATGCGAAATATAACAATAATTTTGCTGATACATTTGCAAAACTCCAGACCGCTGGTGTCTGCGGTGGTGACTGGACCGAAAACGCTGTTACGGCTTGCTGGAGCTAACGCCTTCATCACAGCACCATGCGAGTCCTTCGTTTCGCCTGTCTCTCAGCCGTGTTGTTGAGCTATAGGCGCTATCAGCAATCACCTGTTAACGGGATTGATCTGCGGGAAGAAGGAAATCAGTTGACGAGTGATTGCTGATAGCGCTTATAGCTCAATAACACGGCTGAGAGACAGGCGAGACGAAGGACTCGCACTTACTTGACAGTTGATACTTGAACGGCCGACCCTCACTGGTTGTGTAGACCACAGCATAATCTCCACTTTTCGGAGATTTGCTGGTTAAGCCGTTGTGGTTCTCTGAAATCCCGTGGTCAGCCTGGCCAAAGTCTGTCCGAGGTCTTCACCATTACAGGCAGTCGCAGCCCTTGTGGACAAGAGGGATATCTCGCTTTACAAGCTGGAATATGTAGATAATTCTTTGCAGGATTTTAAGGCCGAACCGTTGCACCATTCGTTATATACTGTTTTTTTCACTACTTCAGCAGTCACAATTGATCATAATAAAAGGAAAAAGAGCGAAAATAACAAAATGAAAGGACAGGTAGTTTTCGATAACGTCGCTGACCACTAATTCCAAGGCAAACCAGTTTCTGTCAAACCAGCGCGAAGAATCTCTGTTCTTCAAAAAAAATTTATTTGAAACAAACTAATACATGAAAAGCCCCGTTTAAAACAACAAGAATATGTACATGACGTTACATATTACAAAAATAAAGTGCACGAACTGTTCAGAGAGTAATGTATCAGACGAAAAGTAACAACAATTGACCGCAAATGCCCAAACGGTGCACACCTACGGAAGAAATTTCTTGAGTTCTAGCTTCTTGAGTGTAAACGTGTTTCTCGAGTGAGAACTACTCCTAAAACAGTGAGGCAACAAGTACGACTAAGTTGCCTTGCTTAGGAAAAGTAGCACTCGGAATTTGCCGTGATGAGCGTCAATGAAAGTCGTCAAAAATGCACTTATTGAAGAAACTCAGTCAATATGGATGCGCTTCTCGCGTCCACTACCCCTGTCACTGGCATCGAAATATGTTAAAGGGCTGTTAGTTAACTAGTCGTAGACATTTGTTAGTGTTTTCCGAATCTAACGAATGTTTTCCGTCAAGGAATCTGGCCTGAGACGACATAAGCGATAAATACTGGGGAAAATCGCGATGGTAGGATTGATGTTAAGTACGCTGATTCCTTGACGAAAGTCTAAATGCAGTCGCGCAGCGAACCGATACACACCAACTTTGTGGTGGCTGTTGCCAATCGTTCTGATCATCGACGATGAACACGGTCAGTCAGGAATGTCTCAACGCTGGTCCTCGTGGCCGATGAAGAATTCACTCGTTCTCTTCTTCACCAACGATTCTTTGTCATCGTCAGCTTCCATCGCCAATACGGTCTCTTTGTCATCGCCGTCGTTCCTCTGCTCTTCCAGCGCGTCCTTCATATCTTCCACAACAGGACCTTGTTCGCTTGTACCGCTTCTCTTCATCATTGCCTGTAAAATATTTAAGCAAATAATTTACGGACGTGTTGAAAAAGCCAGTATGTTTCAAAAATCTACTGTTTACGCCTTTTACAAAATCTATTAACTAAAAAATTCTGGATATGAGAGTTATTTATTTGCTTTTTTGTATTCTTTTAATGACTGCATGAGCGGTAAAAAGGATAAAGCTCTCGGTGTTGATCATTCCCTGAGGGCTGCTCTATTCATTCAAATTCACTAGGCATCGTTAGAGGTGATTGAATGCGTATCTGGTCTATGCAATGACTAGCCGGATGTAATGATGCACTGAATCAGTGTGTTTATTCTCCCAGCCAAGTATAGTACTAATTTGCAAAATTCGAAAGAATGGAGGGATTGGTGAGCCGGGAGAGGAGCGCGAGATCGAACCAATAACCGTCTGTGCACTGTAGAGTACCTCTAACCACTGCACAAGAGCAATACTTCATTGAAACTAATCTCAACATGGTGTTGAGTGACACCTAATTTCAACAAAATCTTGTGCTACCTTATACACACAATTTGTAGAGTGAAGCATACACTCAACTGAACACAGCTCCAACAGTTGCCTAAACAGAGGATTACAACGTATCCCGCCCACTCTGAAAACTTTTTTATTCTTGTTACTACTTGCTGCAGGAGAAACAATGGTCGATATTCAACTATGAAGATAAATCCTAACGCTATAAGTGAACTGGCAGGGAGAGTTTTGCGTGGATGTTGCAACTTCGCCCCGCACGCGAGGCCTTCTGGCTAGCACACACGAGTGCTAGACTTTTGAATGCTTCTAGGGATCTACTTCTAGCAAAACCACTTGAGTTCACCCATCCTTCTTCTTGAGCTGAGCAACTGGGACTACGTTGTACGTAAATTCTTTGTTACTACTTGCTATAACGCAAACAATGGTCGATATTCAACGATGAAGAGAAATCCAAACGCCGTAAGTGAACTGGCAGAGAGGATTTTACGTGGTCGTTGCAAGTTCGCTCCTCCCCCTTGCCTTCTGGATGGCACACACGAGGGTAGACTTTTGAATGCCTCTGGACATTTACTTGTACCAAAACCACTTGAGTTGACCCATCCTCGTTCTTTTTGATGCTGAGGCAAATGGGACTACTTGTGTGTTAATTCAACTCAGCTGTTTGAGTATCAGCTGCTTGCTTATATTTATTGCGTAGCATATCCTCATTTCACCTAACAATATCAATTTTACAAACTTGTAGTAGTGAACCTTCTAGCAACAGCTTATTAACTGACTGTCACGTTCATTTCATGTAGCGATCGCACTCACCTTGAGGCCTATTTCCTCTTCATTCTCCTCAAGGACGTCGTCAAGGATGTGATGTTGAAAGTCATGCGGAGATTTCAGGTTCGTATTTGACGACGATCTTCGGACATCTTTTCCTTTCCCACTCTCTGTCGGTGAACTAACGTCATCTTCTGGAAGCGGAACGATTACGAAGTGGGCAAAAGTGAACGTTTGGAAAAATCTGCAACGGCAACGCTGTGTGCTATCGTATTCAAGTATCCAGTCAAGATTTACCAAGCTACTCTCATCTTATTAGAATAGACTATTTGATCATAATGAGTAATCTGAACTCCTCAAATGAGATGGAAATAAAATTTTAACCAACAGCGTTCATTAATATTCCAATACGATCAAGATAAGGATATCCACAGGAAAAGAACTATTTAAATATGAAAGAGCAAGTATTTCGATTAAATCCAGCAATTGGAGGATATCTGAATCTCGGAAACTTAGGGTTCCTAGAATATCTGAGGTTTATGAGACGAATTTTAGTGAAATCCTAGTCTTCACCAGAAATGTCTTGACATTTACAACAGGTAAAGAGAGATAGACAAGTCGAGTAGGCCGGAGGAAACTTGAGCTACCAGATGGAGCTACAAGTTAGAAATTCAAATTTTTTTTTAAAAAGAGGCAAAGATCTTTTATGTAAGACTTACGATTCTCAATGAATGCTCCGTTGGTGAAAGATTTTTCGCGCACTGGTGTGGTCTCCCCACTTCGATGACCTCTGGGGAAGTCCAAGATGGGCAAATGACCGTGAGAAGACGTCTTGCGCGGTTGATGCTCATCGTATATCTGGCCTCGCGATAGGGATCTGTACGAAAAAAGTAGACATATAGAGCACATAACAATAGAAGAATATTGAGGTTGTGCCATTTTCGCTCAAAGAGGTCTAAGTGCAAGATGATAATACTATCATAAAGAATTGAACTGTTGTTATTCTGACAACATGGACAGCGTGTCTACAATGAATTCTTCGGAACACACAAAAATTTGTACTTGAATGATGTTTTGTTTAGTTTAGTGGATAAGTTCTCACTCTCTTATGTAATCGATGTGAAAACTCCACGGCGTTCTGGAGAGGTTAGCACGTGCAATGCTCGCACACATGTGGACCAATGGGTGTGCCTCGGGTATCTATGTTCTTCCTGGACGGCAGAAACCCTTCATGTTTGCATTTTGAGATAGGGCTGTGCATATAAATGTGGGAATCTTTCAGCTTGGATGACCCTGCTAATGTGATGGAATCCAATAACCGTGATTCGACAACCTTTATCACGCCCTCCTGATTAATAGAGATCTCCAGGTTAGAAACAACTTTATATGTCTAAATACTCCAAATACAAGTCAAACCTTCAAATCTCTTAACTTTTATTGCATTCAAGAAATATATGTTAAGGTTTATTGGATGTCTTTCTTTCACTTATCAAAGAGTGAGAGGAAACAATCGAACTTGTTCATCATAGGACTAGAAAGTGATCCGTATCGCTTTCTGGTTAGTGCTTCGAGTGCTCATTTCGAAAAACAGAGTCTTCATGGATGCTCTAAGAATGCTGCAGAAGACTTGCCTTTCAACTTTATTCTTGAAGCTGCGGAACATTTCCAACGAGGCGATAGAAGGGCGGTTATGGCGATGTTCAAAGCTGAATTATTTCACCATTCATTTCACTACTAGATTGGTGCTATAAGTAATGATGACTTAAATTCCAAAAGGAATTCTTCCATTCACATTCACCTTCATACACACACGGCCCCACGCATATACACACACCCACGCACTTACGCGCGTACGCACGCACACATTTACATACACACACCAACACACACACACACACAATACAAGAACGATTTTTTAAACTTTGTGCACGCGTTAGGATTAGTCGCAATTGCTTCGGGTTTGCGAGAGGTATACTATAGTTCATGCTACCATGTCAAGCACGTCGAGCACAAAAGAAAACAGAAAAAAACTGAGGAAGGGACCAACTGGCTAACAGGAACAACGCTGATTCTTCTCCGCATAGCCAGAGAATTCATAATCAATGGATCACGATCGTCGAAATGGGGAACCATTCTGATTTCGTGCACGCTCTCGGGAAGTCTGCAAACGATCCTCTGCTTAGAGGCAAAACCTGTGTGCTACAATATCCTAGCGCCTTACTTGACTTCACTAACAGAACCCTTGAGTGGATGATTAGGAATTTTCGCCGCTTCCTCCGAATAAAGCGGCTCAACTTCATCATCCCAGAATGGATCTTTCCTGAGATCCGGCGGGCGATCATAACCTTGGTCAACCATCATTAGAACCATCTGGAATATTCCGATGATTTTCAGTTTGAAATTTCTAAACATTAAAATTTTGACGTCGGAATTGCGATAAGGCGGTAATGAGAAGGGAAATGTCAACCTCCACATTATTAGTAGTAGTGGACACATATGTTTAAGATCGAATTTATTGTAGAATACCTACTGTTATATTTCGGTCGATAAGGGCATTGCATTCGAAATCATCATCGTCCTCTCCGAATGGATTCAGCATCGCTTCAGCAACCTGGAAATATTAATCCACCAAAGGTTTCGAGAGTACAGAATAAATATCAAGGTGTGAAGTGATTTATGGTTGCACGCTATCTGGACAAAAGTCTTTTTCTCAGAAACATAAGCGTAAGACTTGCTAATTGCCAGGATCTTGAAGAAAGGGGGTCATGATTGGCGTTGTTCAATGTCTACTGAATTCGCTTCCATGCGGGCTAATGAAATCGGTTGTAGATTTCCTTAGGCGAAATGTGTAACTGATATGTTTGCTCAAGTCTAACGGAAAACATTTTTCCTAGTTTTAAAACTGACCGTCATCTAACTTCGTTGCTAATAATCAACACTTTCTCAGATTGTCGAGCTAACACGAGGTTGATAAATACGTTTATTTGGTTAACGTTTCGACATTTTCATCTTCATCAGAGCTGAATGTCCCTGTCGGTGGACCATCGTTGTTCGTCTTCTCGATGCTTCATAATCGTACCGAGTCGGATCCTTGCGAGAGAAGCACCGGATGAGGTAATGAGGTAAGCTCACGAAGCAGTGTCTTTTATACAGGATGATTGTTGTTTATACGACCATCCGTCGTGTTAGGCCAGTAATCCAAGAGGGTACTGATTATTATTACCGATGTTAAATGACGGCCTGTTTGCAAATCATGGTTTTGCTATGCGCTATATGCTAGCTAGCATAATACCGACTACTGCTAGATGGATTACCCATTGGAAAACAAACAATTATCAACTGATAGTCATGCCAACAACAACCACCCTGTATAAAACAGCGCTGCCAGGAGAGGTTGCCTCATTCGAGCAGTGCTCACTAATGAGGATCCGACTCGGTACGATAACAAAGACGCCGCATCGAGAACACGAACAACTGTGGTTCATCAACTCGGATCATCGGCTATGACGAAGACGAAGACGTCGAAACGTTAGCCCAATAAATCTCTTCATCAACGCTATTCTTATGCTTTTCTTTTTCTAATTCAGCGAATGAATGAATGAATAGAATGAAGGAATGAATGAATGAATGAATGGAATGAATGAATGAATGAATAGAATGGAATAAATGGAATGAATGAATGGAATGAATGAATGAGTGGAATGAATGGAATGAATGGAATGAATGGAATGAATGAATGAATGGAATGGATGGAGTGAATGAATGGAATGAATGAATGGAATGAATGAATGAATGAATGAATGGAATGAATGGAATGAATGAATGAATAGAATGAATGAATGTATAGAATGGAATAAATGGAATGAATGGAATGGAATGAATGAGTGAATGAATGAATAAATGAATGAATGAATGAATGAATGAATGATTGGAATGAATGAATGAATGGATGCAATGAATGAATGTATGAATGAATGCAATGCAATGAATGAATGAATGCAATGAATGAATGAATGAATGAATCGGTAGATAAACTGAGAGGAAGGAAAGACTTCTGAAACATTCCAGGTTTTCTTCATGAAAGGTCAGGCAACCTTTAGAAGTAGTGACCGACTAGCATGTGAAGTAAATAGCCAAACAATTCAGTTCCAGTTAAGGGTTCAACGTTGAATTATCGAGGAAATGCTTGTGTATTAGAGTTCGGTTTTTGATTTCACATCATTTTTTTGTGATTTCGTATGGCCTTCAACAGCATATCAATAGAACAGTTATAAGCATTAGCGAACTAAAATAACTTATAATGGAATGACCATACATCATAACGTCAGCTTACCTTCATCCAACCCATGTAGAAAATGAACTGAAGAGTGGACATTATCGGGAAGTACAAATCAACCTGAAATCTAAAACGTCGCACTGCTTACTGGACCAAGAAAACGTCTTCATGGGTTTGCTAACTACTTTGCTCATTTATTACGGGAAAACTATGGAAGGATTCTTTTCAGAACACTGGACAAACTAGCAAAAATATCTTTCACTAGGAATTCTATTCAAATCGTTCTCATACTGGTTTGCGAATTACGCTTTTGCCCTGTGAACGTACTTCTTAATACGGTAAAATAAAAAATGAAACTCTCGCCGTTGATCAATCGCTGAGGAATGCGCCATGCATTGGACTCAATTAAGTGCCGCTTGAAGGTGAATGAATGGATATCTGGCGTTTTACAATGAATCATGATGGCCTATCGATGTATCGACCTAGTGCTGTTATCCTCCCGGACAAGTTTGGTACTAATTTGTCGACTCCGGAGGGATGGAAGGCTAGGTGGACCAGGGAATTGATCCTAAGGTGTATTGCAGTTCGCCTCCAACCACTGCTCCACACGCGCCCATGCCACCTTAATACTGTAGACCTATCAATGTGGTAAAGACAATTTTCCTCTAGAAAAATTCGGATTTCGAATGCCAGAAGCTGGTGGACCTTAAAATTTAAACAAAAATATCTCGATCATTAAGACTGTTATCTTTGGAAAACCTGTATCTCTAATTATTTAATGCATTGAAGTTATTATATCCAAAAACAATAACTGAAGGTCCAATTTTTACCAGACTTCTTAAACAGAATTTTTATCCCAGATGTGAATAAAATTCATTGCACACCAACTAACGGAAAATGAGTTAAAGTCACAAATGAACATACGAAATATAGTTCAGTAAGCAGAGATCTCGACCGTATTTTTCGTTAATATTTAAGCTGAAGGGGTGGGTCTAGCTTAATGGTTAAAGAAGCTTGCATGCACTACACACTGGCTCGATTCCACACCCTGGTCGAACCAAGTCTGTGATCCCTCAGCGTTTGACAAAGTTACCTCGGAAAGTAAAAGCACTGGCTTGACATATCGTCAGGCCACTGCAAGTCCAGATGCGCATTTCATCTCTTTGATGCTCAGTGAAGTGAAATGACGCATTCGTAAAGGATTAATCAACGCCCAACGCCTCATCGTCTGCTCTTCTACTCAAGCTAAGATTTCTTCAAAGAAGCAACTATTATTTAATGTTCAGCCTAAACCAGGCGTTCCATAGCAAAGTTAACAAAGTTTTTATAACTTCAATGACGTTGAGATATTTGAAGAGCTTCGGACCACAGGTGTATGCGGTAGGGAACGAACGCGCTATTGTCCCTTCCGCGGAGCAACGCGTTCACCACCACACCATGCGGGTCTTCGTTTCGCCTGTCTCTCAGCTAGTTCTATCGACCATGCCGATTTGTGCTCCCCAGATCAATCCCGTTGACGGGTGATTGCTGATGGCAAAAGATCGACAAAACTAGCTGAGATACAGGCGAAACGAAGACCCGCATGGTGTGGTGGTGAATGCGTTGCTCCCCGGAAGGGGCAGTAGCGCGTTCGTTCCCTACCGCATACACCTGCGGTTCGGAGTTTGGCAAATATCTCAGTGTCATTGAAGTTATATTTCGCAATATACCCTGCCATTAAAAAAGCTAGGCAGTAAATAAAAAGGTTAAGACTGTGATTATAGTTGTTTAAAATGATGCATCTTCAGAAGAAACGCCAGATTAAACAAGAGTTTGATCCACCGCTCGAGCATTTTGAAGATCTAAGGAATGGTTTATTTAAGTTCGGGATACTCTCACCTCTGTTTTCTTATCTGCGTTTTCAGAAACTATGTACTGTCTGGCAAGGAGGCAGACAATGAAGTAGGTGTGAACGGCTAGACAGACCAGCTGGGGATACATGATAGGAATCGGCACCCAATCGTAGTTGCAAATCCACGCGAGACCAGTACGGAACTTCTTGATTTCCTGCATAGAGAAAATGTTAACGGAATCATGCTGAAGGAAATTTGCGTTGAAGAGTTTCATAGTCTTCGAACATCTAATAGTTATCGAAGTAAGTCTGAAGAGCAAGAAGTACTTGAATATGTTGAAAATACGGATTGTTCACGACCACTGGACTCAAACAAGTATGCACATCCACTCAGTGGTTGTGCGCGCCCCAGCATAGCCTCCATTTTTCGGAAATTTGCTGGTTGAGCCTTGGAATCCCGAGGTGAGCGTGGCCAAGATCTGCCCCAGGTGTCTTCCTTCACCACCACGGGCAATAGCAGCCCTTGTGGATCAGAGGGAGATTTGCCTCCATGTGACTTTGATACCAGGACGATGGTGGACCCTGGTATTTGTTTACTCTTAGCTAGACTTCCTGATGAAAACACTGGACTCTTTCTCAGTTTGGGAAACCCCGCCAGAGGATGAATCCCCCGCTGCACATCGCTGTCCTACATCTTGGAACATTCCAGCCACGATAAAGCGGTGAACCGTCGTGAGGCGTAGATACTTTAAAAAGCAAAGACCCATCATGAGTCGCAGGCTGGAACCAAAAAGGAAAGATGCAGAGCAAGCACCTATAGCAAATCATGCGACGAAATTCGTATTTGTAGAAGCAAGTGAGATTGCCGTAACCAATGAAGAAAATTTTTTGAATTTGAAATCGTATGCCTTTGTAGCAGCATGCTAATGTTTCCCTTAGCCTTGTGCTGTGAAGTAGAAGCATCAAGTCTGGGTCACCAGTTTAATAAGAAACTAGATTGTACCTCCTGTACGACGACTTGATAGTAATCACTTTCAATGAGGCCCTTCTTTCTGGCATCATAGGTAAGTGCCAAAGCCCATTGAAACGGCAGCCAGTATTTCGAGTACCGGTACTGAATTTCATCGAATCGTTCTTTCTCATGAGGCATCATAAATCCTGAAAATAAACCATTTTAAACTTGAACGCGTTAAACTATTCAATGAGTGTTTACTTTTTATTTACTGCCTACTATAATTTTCACAGCAGGGTATTATGCGAAATCAGCCACAACGATGTAGATAGAAAACTAGCCGAGAAAAACGCAAAGCAAGGGCCTCCGTGACGCGGTGTGTAATGCGTGAGCCCTCGGAAAGGGAAATCTTGGTTCGATCTAGCCCATGGTCCAAACTTTGCGAATATCTCAGCATCGCTGTGGTTTGTTTAATCAGTAATCAGCATTCCTGAGCTGTGTCATGTTATAGTCCACTTAATCTGCAGCATAACTCTTGCTTTGTTTTGACGACAAGCCAGCGCCTAAATCTACCTATTTGCTAATTTTTATTTTCCTCTTAATTCTGATTTCATATGATTCGAACCACTCATATGAACGTCAATTTAAGTATTCATACGGTAAATATAGCTTGTATCTTCGAAAATAGAATATTCGGCAATGTTTTTGTTTTTAGAAGGCACCAATACTAGGCGTGGAACAGTGTGATACTGCTGGTTCCTAACCGGGTATTTGTAATACTAGGGTTACCGTTCTTCAGCCAGAAAAAAGCTACTCGAACCGCTAAGAGCAGTATACAAACCGAGAAAAGCTTACCCGCAGCCACAACAGTGTCCAACGTTGGAAACCGTCTCCTAGTTCTCATACTGATGTCTCGAAACACGAGAACCTGGGCCAACTCACAGTACCGTACAATATTCCTGCGATACATCCGAGCTAGTTCACTACGCCCTCGAACGTATTCTGCCGTCATCAAGCCAATACTGGAAGAGTAGCATCAATGCATATACGATAGCAACTTCATTTCCCCAAGTTCCATTCAGTGCTCTTACCTTATCCCAACTGCTAAATGATTTAGAACGACATTTTGAATTCGAATCGAATCTAACACTAAAGATTGATACTCATGCAAATGATAAATATATCACTAAGCTGGCTGAGTACAAAAGATCGCACTTGTCAATAAATCCAATTATTTGGTATAACGTAGTCCATCTGTTAACAACGGCAGTTACGAAAAAACCCAGCATGAAATTCAAAGGAATGTAGTCGAGCCTAGCATCGCAGTACTGTACCACTCTCTCGAACGTCCTGCAAGAGACATTATTTGTTCTGAAAACAGCAGAGCTCCTTCTCTCAACACCGATTTTTAGCTTGCCTCCGATTTCTGGATTGCATTGACATTGACGTTGTGTTGCAAAGCGCTTGTACTTCAGAACCCCCATCATTTTCATATATTTAGGAAGAATTACTACTTTATTACCTTTGACTTTGCTTTGTATGGAAGATTCCTATCCCCTGTGTGATTGCAAAGTGAGTATTAACGTGGATTTCATTAACGGAATGCAAAGGCTTATCGTAGAAACTGTATTAATGTCGGACTACGTCTTCACAGTAAACTGAACAGATTACAATTATTTTGCAGCATTTTGACTCCATAATAAAACATAACTAGTACCACAACGCAGCGACTACAAGAATAAAGATGCTATCAGAGACCGACAATTCACGCCCCATTCACGCTCAACGGAACGAATACCTCCGAAAGCTCCAGTTATATCTATCTAGGTCGAGAAATCAATATGATGAACGATCTTGCTCCAGAGCTGAGCAGAAGGAAACGAGCGGCGTGAAGTGTTTTCAAGAGCATCGAGGACGTATTGAAGAGGACAAAAAACACCCTACTCCGTGCCCACCTACCGACTCCACGATACTTCCTTCTCAAAAGTATGCGTCGGGAACCTGGTCGCTGCGTAAGCAGGATGAAAGGTCACCCAGCGTTATTGAACGCGCAGTCGAAAGAACGATGCTAGGAGTATCCCGTTGCACACAAGTAAGGGATGGAATCCGAAGCTCCGATCTGCGCCAACGACCAAAAATCAAAGATGCAGTTCTGTACGCCAAACAGTCGAAGACAAAGTGAGCAGGACACGTAATGCGTATGAATGACAACCAATGGACAAGAGCTGTTAGTGACTGGATTCCTCGGAATGTTAAGCGTTCTGCAGGAAGACCACCGACCCGATAGTCAGAGTTCTCCACAAGGAGCTTTGAAGAAAGATATGATGCTCAGCGGGTTCCTAGAGCGAGCAGAACCCACTGGGCTACTCTTGCACGTGACAGGGAAAATGGAATATTTACTGGCGCCCATTCGAGTCACTCGACGATCAACGGGACTATAGGTGATACAGGTGATCAGAGACCGAGAGAACACATGGTCATTGGCTCCAATCTGCGCACCGGACTCACCTGGCCCTCCACACCACTAAGTCGAATCATCGGCAGGTCATTGTATAGCCCAGATAAGCATTCAGTCACCTTTAACGATGCTTGATGAGGTCGAATACATAGCGCAGTCGAATCCCTCACGGATTAATCAATGCCGAAGACTTCTTTATCAGGAGTAAAGAAAAAGGGAAACCCTGACAACTCCGAGTTATATTGTCTAGGATAAGCAAATCAACTTTGCCAAAAGATGAAAAAATTTCACAATTATGTCAATTAAATTGAGAAATTGAGCGAATTGAAATCTTGGTGTCAGAAGTTGTGAAAAAAGTTGTTCTGTGAGACCGTAACCACAAAAAGATGTCATTACAGTTCTGGAACGCAGTCTTCAGCAATAATGTATTGTGGCCTTGGAGAAGTGCTCACCTTTGCTGCTCATAGGTAAGTGCGGTCCTGTAGATGATACTGAGGATACCGAAGAACATTAGCCAAACAACAAGCTCAAGTATCACTGCTTTCCAAATGCTCCCGCGCCATTTCAAGAGTAATTTGAACAGAGTCCAAGGTTTCGACGTCGAAACTGCCAAATTATAATTAATGGTCATCTGAAAAAAGTTAGAAATGTGATTTTATTCACGACAGTGATCGTTTGGGTCGTGTTGAAACGGTTCGAAGTTGCACGCGCATAGATAATTTGTGAGTCACGAACATAGAAACTAAAAGGAAGCCAGAACATACGAGACATATGGACGAATTTCTAAGGATATATGTACACTATGCTGGCTGAACATTACGGTAGGCGAGAGCGAGCAAGTATTTATTAGGAAGCGGACTATATACCGCTTAGACTGCGGTAAGGATCAAAACTCTAACAAGTGTGGAGCTGAGAGCACGTCTACCAGACAAGGCCAATGGAATAAGTCGAAGAGTTTGACGCACTTAATCAAAATTTTGGACAAATCTAAAACAATTTAAGGAAGTACTGAAGCCATTACAGCAACGCTGTTGCAAGGTGAGAAATTTATTTCTGGTCCAAGAAAACTGGTATCCGCTGTAGCAAAAAGGTAGGAGCTCTAACGTTATTATCGCAGAGATTCATCGTTCGATCTTCGGCTAGCTTGGTGGAAAAATTTAAGGCTTCAGAAAATATTTTTATAACGAGCTCAAAGGAAGATTACTTTGGGTAACAGTGACGAAGTGTTCATAAAAACCGAATTTCTTTTAATCTGTTCACGACTAACCGATATTTTCTTAGGTCGCTAAGATAACACGAGGTCGTTAGGAAACATTTATTATGCTAACTATTCGGCGCTCTCGCCTTTTCATAGTTGGTCCACAGTCGCTTATCTAGCGGTGCTCTACTGCAGAGACTCGACTGCATGCGACTACAAAGGCCCATATCGCAAGAACTAACGACTGCGGACGATGTTTTCATTAGTGTTCTTCAACTCTCTCCAGTCCCATTTGTGCAAATTTATGAGTGGTACTTAGTAAGTTAGAAATAGTCTTTCGGCAAGAGATTCCATTAGGTGACCTTACAAAAAATTCAAGAGAGATCTACTATCGAAACTTCAAATGAAGTGCGAGACGCAGGGAGGGTGAGACATGAAAATCCACAACAGCGAATCGACTTTGTCACAATATCTCCAGAATGCTTATACATCTTCACAACTATGTCAGCTCAACAGGTCATCTAAATTCAGTCAAGATCCACGGCGAGACGGCCTACTGGTCGTGAACTCTTGAAGTGGCGTTGAAATGAGTTTTCGAGGGGATTTTCCAGAAAACTGTCGAAACATCGCAGATGGCCGGGACAAATTTCATGCCATTTGCATTGACCACAGTTCTTCGTTAACAATTTGAAGTGAGGAGTGAATGTGGAAGCACATGTCTTCTAACGATTCCTGCAATAACATTTATTCCTTTCACACTATCGCCCTCCCTGGTTCTTTTTTTTTAGAACGATCAACGTTCGCTCTGCAGTCACCGTTTTACGGCGATGCCCAACTCTTCAAGTAGTGTGCAATATCGTAAACCACATGGGAAAAGAGAAATCATTTCACCATCGTCTTCCAGCAACTTGCGCCTCAACTATTCGGCCAGTAGAAAAATAGTGCCCGGTTTTGAATGAAAACTTCAAAATGCCGCGACATTTACAACGATAGTTTCTAAGGTAAAACTCAAGAATAAAAATGAAGAGAATTTCATGATTTGACAGCGTCATTTCAACCAGCCTAGCATCTGTTACATAGGAAATTGATAAAAATAAAATGAATGATGAAGTTTTTTGCAAACTTCATACCGACGAGAAAGCAGAAAACGTATTGGTTACGATGCCGTTCATTACGAGTTAGGCATTGGTTTAGTCTTGTCCCGGGTCCAACAAGCTTCTCATTCCTTCGGAGCCGAGAACTCCCATCGCCATGAAAACGCCCTAGCACGCTCATCTCACGATCTCAAGAAGAATCAACTCGACCAGCATTGAACAACATTCGTAATGAAGAATAAAATTGTCCAGGTAATAGCCGAGCGCGTTTTCATGTTCGAGGTCATTCGTGGACCGCAGATACGAGGAAGTGAATCGAATGCAAGAAGTACTGGCGTCCGCCTTATGCATGGTGTCAGGTCACATAGAAGTCTCATAACGACAAATACCACCATTAATTTTTTTAACAACCAAGTATTACTTTCAACGACCCTTCAACATTCGAGTGTTTAGCGTGTGTATAGCTTCCTTTACGCGTGAAAACTAATCACATCTTCGGTGCTTTTCATCACTCACATCACTGACTTGGCGAGCAGTGTACTTTCTCGCACGCTGCTATAATCAATATTAGGCAGTAGTGAAAAGTATGTCGCGTGTGGCGCAGTGGTTGGAGGCGTCACTGCGACAAGCACGTTGAATCGATCTTCGCGCCTATGACCCACCAAGCCTTCCAGCCCTCCGTGGTAGGCAAATTGGTACAGATTTGTCTAAGAGGATAGCAGCACTGGCTCGATACATCGGTAGGCCACCGCGAGTCATTGTAAAGGCTGATTCGATCACCTCCAAACAATGCCTAATGAAGTCGAATGCATGACGCATCCCTAAGGAATTGATCAACGCGGACAGCTTTATGCTTTTTTATCCTTTTAATAAAAAATAATAACAAACACCTATAGGAGGAGCAATAATCGCAGCAACAATAGCATATAATAAACCATAATAAACAGTGAAGAAAACTTGCAAACGTGATTTCGACCGCAGCTTCGGTTCAACTGAGCTCAATGCCAATTTGTGCCCTTCAGATAAATCCCGTTGGTTGGTGATTACTTATAACACAAAATAAAAAAGTGGTCGAGAAAAAGGCAAAGCTAGTGCCTAGGTGGTGCAGTCGGTAGAACGTGAGTCTCCAGAAAGGGTCATCGCGTGTTCGAAGCTGGTCTGAGGTTCGAGCTTTGCTAATATCTCAGCATCATTGTAATTATATTTCACTTAATAACCTGTCATGAGAAAGATAATGGAGAAGTAAATGAAAACCCAAAACAGTATAAAGAAGTTATAGTGCTAACCTCTTATTTTCTATCTACTATAGTTTTTCACGGCAGCGCATGATGTGAATTGCAACCACAACGATGCTAAGATATTCGCAAAACTTTTCGAGCCAGATCGAATCACGATTTCCCTTTCCGGGGGCCCGAGCATTACACACTGCGCCACGGACGCCCATGCTTTGCGTTTCTCTAGGGTATTTTTCTACATAACGCTCATCAATTTCTAAACGATATTTCTTACCGATTTCAGCATCAAATTCTAAAGTAACCTCTAGTTATTGAAGAGCAATCCGTAGTTGTGGTAAGCCCGTGGAAAGGGAAATTGTGGTTCGATCCTAACCCGGGGTCCACGTTTAGTGAATATCTGAGCATGGTATAGGTTGTAAAAATAAATAAGCTCTTTACCTCCATGAACATCCACTATGCTCTCCTCCAATACGTAATTTCGCCGCTTTCAATAACAATATCACTTTTGAAAAAAAATGAGCAGATAAAACGCAAGAAATCATCTAAATCAAAAAATTTCACTACTCTGTGTTATTCAAACATTATAAAATACCTTTGATTAATAAAAATATTTCGGGCTTACAGATCCATCTGAACCTATGTTGAAACCATTTATTTTAACTTAACGCTATAGACACTCAGATGTCTATAGGAATCTTTTCACGAGGAAAGAAAACTGAAGCTATAAAGAATCTGCAATGGCTTGGGTTGATCAGCTGGGCAATCGAGCGGACCTCAGTGGCGCTTCGCTCCACTACGTCTGAAGAAAACGAGGAGTTAATTTTATATATTTTTTTTTACTACGCCGCGAAATTGTAGTAGGCAGAAAATAAAAAGGTATAACATTGTGATTTCAACTACAGCCGCAGCTTAACTGGGTTTTATGCCGATTTGTGCCTACCTGATCAATCCCGCTGACGGGTGATTGCTGTGGCAAAGATCGATAGAAATAGCTGAGAGACAGACGAAACAAAGGACCAGCATGGTGTGGTGGTGAACGCGTTACTCCCCGGAAAGGATAATAGCGCGTTCGTTCCCCACCATAGACACCTGCGGTCCAGAGTGTTGCAAATATCTCAGCAACGTTGTGGTTGTATTTCGCTTAGTACCCTGCCTCGAAATTATAGTAGGCAGAAAATAAAAAGGTATAAAAAAACGAAGAGTAACGTGATTTTTTTCCACTGTTTCCTGAGAGTTCAACACTTCCTAGCCATGGTTTTGCCACAATTCGCCGTTTTTTCGCAAACACAGGAGGGAAATTGGGCCTTTGGAGCCCTGTTTCGGTAGTTTTGGTCGAATTTTCTTAATGACACGTTGATGTGGGATGTGGTTTCCGATTGACATAGTGGTTCCTGTTCATGATAATCATTCAGATTAGCGTGAGTGACGCGTTTGACTTTCATGAATATCTCTTTATACTTCTGCTAAAACCCGATGTTATAGCTGTGCAAACGATCAACAACCGTTTTATCGAACTGGTGTTTGATGAGATGAACACCATGCCGTCTATCAATGCAGAACGATCACTATGGTGGTCCACCATGGATGAACACTTCCGTGTGTATTCCTTGTCATTAATCAACGAATAAGGTGAGATAATGACACAATGGCTAAAGCAGCATAATTCCGAAAAATGGAGATTATGCTGGAGCCCACACAATCAGTGAGGACGGGCCGTCCAAGTAAGTATCCAATTAAGTTCATCATTGATACGGCATTTCCAAAGCTCTTGAGAATTCTGCACTGATGACAGCACGGTCTTTCGATAAAAAACTACACTGAAAGAATAACGTTTCCTCCTCTAATACCAAGGGCTGCACACGGCTTTGTTCTCTGATCAGCTTTTTTCCATTGCAAATTGAATGATTGCTTTTTTATTGAAATATCGTCCTCACATAGGCGAGAACTTTTTTGACATTCTACTGCAAACATGTTGAAACGAAGCAATTATCTCTGTTGCTTTTCAAACCTCAGTGCCTCAAAGTTTTTAAATGAACATTCAGATCGTCGGAGCACGTCGACAAGTACACTACCTGGATGTTACCGCACCCTTCTAGAAATAGGC